TTTATAATTATTATTCATTTTTAAGAAAAGAGCCAAGATAAACACTGTGGGAAGCTTTTGAAAAATTTTTGTAGGAGTTTTTTTGTTCATTCTGGCTTTATTTCAGTGATTTCATTCTTTCATATTATTTTAAAATAAGTGATAACTTAAAACCATAATTTCAGGTTTTTCAACTTGCTGCTCTGGATTATCTGCTGTGATCTTTAAACTCAGAAGTATTCTATTTCCTGGCATTTTTGGCTATAGATATTTGTACCCAGGAACACAGGGGAAGGATGCTTTCTGATTTCAAAGCATGATCTGCAACTCTTCAAAAAAAAACAAATAAAGAATGAGACAAGAATTTGCAAGAGGCTGAGAAAGGAGAATGGGTATTCCTCTATAGTTTTCAAACTGCTCCCAAGACATGAGAGGAAAAGGTCTACACTGATGATAGTCTAACGCATCCTAGTAGACAAAATTCAATGACATGGTTTCAAGTTATTACATTCAGAGAAAATACCAAATTTTGTAAAATTATGTTTTTAACATATTAGTTTGCATTTGTAAGTCTGTAAGTGAAGACTTCAGCGGATCTAAGTTGAACAAGTAGCAAATAAATAAATGTTATGTAAATGTACGATTTGAAGGGACTTACACTAGAAAAGAGTAATTTTTAAAAAAGGTCAACGTGCCAAGTCTTCAGCAAAGTGAAGAAATCCATGCTGGTTTCAAACTGACAAAAAAAATAGGCTTCATACTGCTGAAACTGCTTTTGATAACTTCTTTTCTAAGCAATATAAAAGATATATAAGGACTTTGAGAAAAACATATCCATTCCCAGTGTTCTTTCATCCTCTGATCATAAGGGACATTTAATGGAAATAACTACCTAAAAATAAGCACACTGAAAGAATTACTTCCTTGCTTACTTTCTCCAGGTTTCTCTTGCCCAAGTTCGTATTTTTTATTTTTCCTTCATTTAGCTACCTTTCCTCTTTCAAAATTATTACAATGTAGTACTTTCTCCATGAAGTCATTACTGAAAGCATAAGGGTTGACAATTTCTTTCTCATCTTCAGACTCATTCACATTTTCCTCAACACATATAATAAAAATAATGAGTTCACATTTTCTGAGAACTTACCATGCAGAGGGTGAATGGGACATACCACTGGTCATACTTCGTTTAGACAGAATAACCCTGGATAGATACTACTATTATCCTGTCTATGAATGAGGGAACAGGGCTAGCCAGTTAAGAAACATACCTGAGTTGACATAGCAAGAACTGAAACAAGAATGCTGTCAGCCTGATCCTAAAGCTTATATCCTATCCCACTAGTTTTGGCTTAGATTTGAAAATACACCTTATGTAAAAATCATTGTAATTATGCCTCATTTATCTTATTTAAAAATCAACCCCCTATAGAATAGTTAACATCAAACTGATGATAACACTTTGGTATGATCACGAACTGGCCTTGTATCAAATTGTTAGTTTTGTTGATACAAGAGTTGGTGACAGCAAAAGCCTACGGAGTCCCCGGGGAGAAAGGGAATCAAATGTGGAGGGACACTACTAAAAGCAAAGTCGAGATACTGCCACTTCAAGACTCTGCTGGATTTGAAGCCAGTGCCATTGGACACCAGCTCCTACCCTGGGCTACTCAAAACCTGATCACTCTTCTTCCTAATCTTCCCAAAGCCTGAAAAAAATTCATTAATGTGAAATTTATGAAAGACAAAAATTATTTTTTTCATTTCAAGTCAGAGAAGAAAAAGAATGAGCTCTCTTCAATTATATTGATATTAAATACTGAAATTAAAATTGATATTACAATAGATAATAAACTATGATGCCCAGATGCTCTAGAGCAGGTTTAACAGGACCAGTTTTTAAAGGCTGTTCTGGAGCCTGTGGAATGGCAGAATGGGCTGCAACTCAAGGGCTTGACATGACTGATATTTGCTAACATAGTAATCTAGACTTGTGTTTCATCAGCAAAATTCGTTAGTTGTGCTGTCTACAATGTAAGTCAGGTTCTCTCTACCTCTACTCTGTATATGTTGTTTCCCTATCCAAGACTCCCTAACAATCTCAAATTCCCAAAGGAAGGACTTACATCAAATTAATTGATGTATCTTTCACTTGGCTTATTTCATAAGCCAAAACTTAAGGTATACTTTCTAAAAAAAAATCTATTGAATGAATACATCTCTTTAATCAGCTTGGTCTGCCTCAACTACCAACTCAAGTTCTGGCTCCTCAGCCCTGCTTTTCTTTTAATTTTGTTGCTCTTCTTGGTCTTCTGTCATTAAAACAGAAAAAAACAAATTCAACTCCTTAATGTCTTCCTTGTTTTTATGATTTCCTTACTCTTTCTAATTCTTTGATGGTTCTTTTCTTCACATTATATTTATTGATTTCTTTTTCCCTTTATTTTTGCTCTTGATCATTCTATTTTCTTGTGTTTCTTTTCTTTTTCTTTTGGTCTACTCTCTAATTCCCTTCCATCTTTTATTTATTTCTTCTAATACTTTTTCACTTTTCTTTCCCTGTCTATCTATCTCCTTTCCTTTTAAGGATCTGTGTTAAATTTAGTTTCACTTGCACTTTAAGAAAAGAATACTTTCTTCATCAAAAGCACTCACAGAATTATAGTTGTATGTCTTCCTCACCAAGAACATCAAGTTCAGGAGGAAAGGGGTTCTTTATCCAATTCTTTCTGAGTATACTAGCTAGAAAGTACAACTACCATTTCTCATGAAGCTTATAAGGTATACAACTCATATACCAGCTGGATCAACTCATGTGGTTTGTGGCATGCAGTCAATAGAAAGTGATGGGGGGAAATGGCAGAAACTTTCAACAACTTGTTCTGAGCTGATCAGGCAAAATAAGTGAATCACTTATCCAATTAGGTAGTTTCAGTTCCAGGTCAGAGAAAACCCAACTCAACTTGGCTGAAACAAGAAAGGCTAATATAACTGAAAACTCCCTAAAGTAGAAATGCTACCTATATTCTTTCAGTCTCTCTGCTTTGTCTTCTATGGCATTAGTTTTATTCCAGGCATGGCTGCCTTCCTAAGCAGAGCTGATCCTCTGACTACATGTCTTTGGCTCACATGTAACAGAAAAATGGGTTCCCAGCAAAAGTCCTAAAGATTTGACCGGACTGATCTAGATCATACACCTTCTTCTGAACCACTCACTGTGAAAGGGGAAGTAAGATGCAATGATCAGCTAATCCTAGTTCATGGGCTCCACCGCCAGGTCCTGGATAGATAGCTCCTGGGAACCACATGGTCTCAAGAGAAGGAGCAACAAAGAATGACATGTTATGGAAGGAACCAGCACATTTCTACTGCATGAGGCAAAGCTGAATACAGGCAGTAAAAAATAACAACAATTTACTAAGTATATGTTCTTTTTCCATGGTGTTATTTTAATAATTGTAAGATTATAAAAATGAGTAAACACATTTTATTTTATGAAAATGAAGCTCTTCTACATTATTTTAAGTGAATTCCTCTGGGAACTCTTTCTGAGAATACTGACCCCAACACAGTTACTGATGATTACTGTTAAATAATTTAAATGTTATTACTTTAAAATAACAAGGCTAAAAAAACAATAATGAACTACAACAAATGACTATTTGAGAAAATAATGATATTTTTGATGGGAAAAAAGTTGTAAGGATCACTTTAGTGGCTATTTTTAAAAGATGTAATATAAAGTCAGTTTAAGCAAATACAGGAGGAAAATCATTTTTAAAAATGAGAAGAGATGAGAAGCACATTTCATAAGTGAGCAACTGTCATTCTCTCTTATTCCCAGTCTCATTACATGTCTTCTGACTAAATATTAAATAAAGACCTTATGGAATTAAAGGCTAGGACATTAACAACTGAACATATGGAAGAGTCATCTGCCTGGTCATTTGAAGATGGGCAGAGGTTGGGGATGAGGGTAATTTTCACAGTAGTGAAAGTAGTTAATTATAGATGGTTAGATTATACATAGGTGTTCAAATAAATGAATGTCAATCCTTCGTCCTCCCAAAGAGGACTATGTGTATTTTCTAGAGTTTTTGCACATCAATTGCAAAGGCTATCTCTCCAATAAGTAGAATACTTTTATTTTCTCAGTACTTAAAAAAAAGAAAAATAGAATGTTGTCTGCAACTGTGAATCATCAGCCACTACAGTTCTAAAACACCCAGGTCTCTCCCTATTGCTGCAGCCATTAGAAAGGAAAGGGCTGTCTTTTAATGACACACACAAATGCCTGCACTGCTGGGTTGCAAAGCGTAATTAATTCTGGCCTTTTTGGGCTTGATGAAACACCACACTTACACACACGAGAGAAGTCATTTAGAGCTTTGTGTGTGTACCTAAAATAGGGAAAGCCCTGGCAACAACCTAATTCTACTCAAAATGCTCTATATGTCATGTTTGTATGAGTTCTGCAAACATTTCTTCAAAATATATCTCTTAAAACAAGCAGATTGTGTTAAAAAAAACTTAATCACCTGTATGAACAGTACTCTTAACTTTTAAAAGTGTGAAATGTTGTTTTTCAAATTGTTGGCAGTAAACACAGGATTATATTTCTTAGCTTGTGGCTGCACTAAAAGGGTATTTAAACAAAGTAATCTCTTAGATGTAGCTGGTCAATATAATTTCCATTTATTAGAATAATTTTTCATAATTTAATACATACTTACATGTTCTGGTACAGAGGCTATTATTCCATTGAGAATTTAAAAACATAAATTTTCAAGGTTTCAGTTCAAATAACAATATAAGTAAATTTTTAAAAAAGAAATTTAACTGAAAGTTTTACCTTGAAAGATTTACTCCTCTTTATAATATTCAATTATTCTAGCCCTGAGGAGTCTTGAAAACAGCTGCCTATTTTTAAAGGAGTTACCGCTGCTATAAATGCAATTTCTTTGCTTTAATTATAAACTGTACATAAACAAGTGAGTAATAACATGCAAAATTCCTCTCACCTGTTTAGGTGTAACCCCAGGCATCCGAATATCCAATGCAAAATCGGATGAATCAATAGGAGTTACTGGTCGACTGGGACCAAAGCATTCATTGGAAAATGATCTGGTAGTTTCTTTAAACCTTAAAAAAAAAGGCAATTTCAATATCGTAAAACATAATGGAATCTTAACTTGAGAAAGAAAAATATAAAGGAATTCTATGAATGTAAATGAAAGATTATTGATTTAGACCTGATGAAAAGATGTGATAATTACATAATATTCTAAAAACATTGTCAGAATTGCACTTTAGAGTCCATGAGCAATATATGCCTAACTTGTAAACTACATGTAATCAAAACAAACAAGCAGCTTACATGTAAAACTCAATTCAATAACAATTTGTCAACATATTTATTTTTTCTAGTTAATGAAAATACAGGATTAATAAATTAGAAATTATCACAGGACTGACAATTTCTAATGGAAAAATATTAACTATAACCCAGTAAAATTTTTGTAACTATTTTATGAGTGTCCAGTATTAGTAGCAGAAACAAAAACCAACAATAATAATGCTAGAAGGGAGGGTTGAATTGGGGGGAGGGAGGAAGGGATGAAGAAGACTGCGAGGTGAACTACAAATGTACAAGTGCATAAATATTTAATATGGTAATTATGAGGACTGTGTATACAGCTCAATGTTTTCTCGTGAGCTATTACAGTCCGTGATCTGCTTCTCCCCACCACTTACATATACTGATATTTTATTCTTCCAGCTATTATAAAACAAGAAGGCATTCGAGTCTAAACGATAATATGTAGTTCCTGATATATCTTCCCAAGAGGGAGCGATTTGTATTGGAAATCACAACTTCTAATTGAAGTTTTGAAAGCCAAGTGAAGCTTGGCTACACCACAGTGGGTATTTTTGCAAGAGGGACTTCACAAGAAGTTACTGTGCTAAAATTCCAAGTCGGTTCACAAAAGTAAATCAGCCTCATGCATTTACTTCTCCAACGCTCTAGTCTGTAAAAGTGATTACAATTATCAACAGCATGCGCAGCAACCACGCAAACAACATTCCGCCTGTTTTAACACACACACACACACACACACACTCACACTCACTCACTCACACTCACACATACTCACCTCTTAAAGACAGAAAGCGGGCTTCTGAAACCCAAACAGCTGCTATTATTAAAAACAAGGAGGAGAACTAGCAGGCTACAGACGCCAGCCATGTCCACGCCACTCCGGCCCCGCCGGGAGAGGACCGGGCAGCGCAGCTCTGGGCTTCGGCCGGAGCTCTGGCAGCGGCGCAGCCAGCAGCCGCTACTTCATCGCCGGGGCGCGGCGGGCGTCCTGGCGGCCACACACCATCTGGCTGCGGAAGCGACGAGCTGGACGGGGTGAGGTGTCTTTATCCCTAGTCTCACGCGGAAATCCCTGGGAAGGCGGTACTTTTGTCCGGTCCGCAAGCGGAAGCTTTCCTTCTTCCAGAGCCTTTTTTTTTTTTTTTTTTTGTCCCTGGTGCTGGGGCTAGACTTGCAGGTTCCTTATCACTCGGCAATGACAGGGACTGTGAAGGATATCACACAATCCCGCGTCAGTCATCATTCAGAACCTGCAAAAATAGAAGCAGATAATGGATGACTAACACATTACAGCATTTGTCCTCAGCAAATCCCAGTTGAGGTTCTTTAATACATTCGTAGTTTCACAAGCTTGAGCCCAAGCCTGGGGAAAATGCTGGTCTGTTGATTTCCCTGCACCCCCCGCAACAGCCCCCAAGATTTCACAAACCTCCATAGCCCCTGTTTTGCTCGCTCTTTCTCCCCACACCTACTCTCTCCTTTTTCTACCCTTCTTTCCTCCTTTCCCTCTCATCCACCCAACTCTTCTCCTTACTTACTATTTTACTCCCTTCGGTCATCAAAAATGCACTTAATACCTCTGTTGAATGTAAACGAACTTATTCACACAAATGACAGGCTAAGGGCAAAAGAAAAGGAAAAAAACCCTGAGAGAAGCAGACACAAATCACTTGGATACAACACTAATCAGATAGAAAAGAGATTTTGAGAACAAAGGCATGTTTTATGTATATGCATCACAGAGCTACAGATCTAAGGAGAAAGAATACCTACCCCCTGCCGAGAAAGATCTCCACCGGAGCAATTGTCGAAGTTCTCAGGATTATTTCAAAACCAGCCAAAAAGCTACAGTTATCATGGTATATGAAATGTAAGCCTACTTAAAAATTCTGTAGCTAATACACAAAGTAATAATGACTTACTTATAATGTATGCTTTCCAAAATGTATTCTTTCCTGAATAAAGTTCGTTAATTTACAATGCAATGCATATAGAAAGAGCAGGGAGAATCTCAGCTGGCCCCTACATGAATTCATCTACAAAGGGTTTGATCAAGAACTTAACATTAATATTAAAGAGAGGCCCTGCAGAACTAGTGCAACATCTCAGCACTTTATGATGAGACTGTTAGGCTACATTTTCAAATATGCATGTTTTGACTTTATAGTTGTCCTGAACATATGTCAGACTTATATGTCAAGTTTGTCCATTGTAGTGAGAAGGCATTATTTTCAAATCTTTCACAATATAAAAATACGTCCAAAAAAAGAGATTTCTTAAAGTTTAATTTTAATTTATAAACACAAGGAAACCTCAAATCCAATGGCCAGATGGATAACAGTAAAAAACAAAAAATCGGTAACATCTTATAGAAGTATTCCAAATTATCTTCTGGAAATCACAAGATAGTGAAGCTAATCTAAAAACAAATAAAATAAATCAAAATTAAAACAAAAAAGCACAAATAAAAATTAAATGTAAGGACTTCATGGTCAAAGCTTTCTTGAAGACCACCAATATAAATAAAACATGACAGATTATCTAACCAATCCAAAGATGCTTGGGGCTCACCAGCACCCAAGGACCGTAGCTAATTTACGTAAGCAATGACATTTTTAAAAGACACGATATCTGTTCGAACTTTCTCTTTGACTTGCTGTTTGAGCTTTCAGCAACAAAAGGCCTTTAGCTTTGTCCCAGTCCCTGGGTAAGGGTAAGAACTATCAGGGAATAGAAATGATTGGCCTGAAGGCTATGCTACTGCCTTTACCAGCAACCAAGTATAATCCTGTCTAACGACAACACTTAACACTCCCTGATGGTCTTTAAAAATATGTACATGTGGAGAAAGAATAATATTTTATTATTTTATGCAGAGCAGGATTCAAGGTCAATCCTTTTTCCATTTGGCAGGGAGATTTGGTATTATACAAGCACTTGAAAACAAATTTAGTATTAAAATTCTTTAATAGGAACACATCCCTAAGTAGTAGCCTTTGAAAAAAAAATCCACTTATCTCTTTGATTGATTTTATTACCTTTGATGTGCCTAAACTACCCACTAAAAGAAAAGGGAATTGAAGTTGTAGGTGGAAGCAAAGTGGGTATTTGCAGCTATAAACAAAGCAGGAGGTCTAACAGGAATGAAAGCTAATTATGCTGCTTGGTTCTTGATGCCTTGTAAACTAGGGACAAAATACAAACTATCAGATGAAAAAAGTCATGTCTAACCATTTCATTTGTTACTTTACAATTCCTGATAATTTTGGAATATATAATATTAAAAAATTTTAGTTGTCTTCTCATTTAGGATTTTGAGAACTCAAATTTGTTTCTCTGAGATAATTTACTCCCTCATTAAAACATATACTTAATTCTATAGTCTGCACAAAAAATTGTAATATGTTGGTGTTTCATAAAATGAATGAAACTAAAAGACAGTGTAGCCTACTGTGGGAGATGAGGACTTGATACAATTAATATAAGGTGTGTTTACAATGAGGTATAAAGAGAGTATTATAAAAAAGACTCAAGAAGTTTTGAGGTAGGAAAGATCATATGAACATTCAGGAGGAGGGTAAGAAAGAACAGAAAAGTAGATTTGGTCTTGAGTCTTGCATATGTATTTTTTGGGGGGATCTTAAAATGATTTGACAATAATAGAATGAGACTATGTTTTTATATGACTTATGGAAATCTATGATAAAATGTTTAATAAAGCCCATATGAAAGAGCAAAAAAGAAAAATAAAGAAAGAACAGAAAGGTAAAACAGTCTTCAGTGGAATAGGTGACTACTGAGGGGAGCTTGGAGGGTGGCTGGATTTGATTTCCACTGTGGGAGTTGGACCTGGGCGTTCCGGGTGCAGAAAGGGGTAGGGGCACAGGAGTCCCGGTGGGGAGCAGGGGATGTATTTTAAAAAATTAACAAAGTAATATAGGTTCTGCCTCCTAGGCTCCAGCTGTAGATTCAGATTTACTATTTTATTTGTAATACAAAGCAAATATTCTGTTTACACACCCATAAATTCTTAGAATAATTTATAGTTTATACCTGTATAATTATTAATTCCAGGAGCAGTACTATTACATAGCTTTGTCCAGCCTGGAACAAGAGGACCATACAACTAATTTGGCTTTTGCAAAGTGAGTAGTCCATTCGTTTCAATTGTTATTTGAAAAAAGAAAAAAAGTTGAAATTTGTAATTGATCAAAGAACCAAATAAATATGTTGATTATTCATTCATTGCTTTATTTACTCAACAAGAGAGAACCAGAGTAGCATAGTACCTAAGAGCTCGTAAACTGAAGAAAAACTACCTGCACTCCTGGCTCCCTCATTTCCATGCCTTGTAAAAATGAGCAAGTGGCTAGCCTTTGTTTAACTCAGTTTCTTCATCTGCAAAATGGAAATAATCCTACTACCTACCTCATATGGTTGTTACAAGGAATAAATAAATTTGTATTCTTAGAAGAGCTCTAGACATATAATAAATGTATGCTATTACTATTGTTGCAATAAATAATTATTGAGTGCCTCAGACTATCTTAATGGTAATAACTGAGACAGATGAAGTCTCTACTCTTAAAAAGCTTAATTTCCAGTGGGGAGGGGAACAAGTGAAAATAACTACCAAATGATAAATTTAATTTTATTTTAAGGAGATTTTGTGTGGTTTTCTACAATGACTTATGATTAAACTGATTAAAGAGTGCATATCCATTCACATAGCAATTTGACCCCAGGGATTTATTCTTGGGCAAAAATTGAACAATGGCACAAAACATGTTGATAAGGATATTTACTAACGATGTGTATAGTAGCAAAGAACTGGATGTTTATAATAGAAAAGAACTGGAATCAATTTAAATGTCCATCAAAATAAATTGGTAAAAAAAATTTTTTAATACAAAACCTGAATACTATACATCCCTTTAAAAAAGGAATAGATGGGTCTACTTTTATAGGCAAGGTCATATTCTATATTTTTTGCATACTTTTAAAAATGTTTCAATAATCTCAGACTTACAGAAATGATGCAAGAACAGCACAAGGAACTGTTTTCTTTATTTATCCAAGAATAATTTGCAGACCTGATGATGCCTCATCATCTCTGAATACCTTAGTGTACATTTCTAAAGTACATCCCACTACATAACCACAAGTCATCAAAGATACTCACAGTGACATATTACTATCATTTTATCTCCAGTCTCCAAACTTTGTCAATCATCCCACTAATAGCTCTTATATCAAAAGAACCCAGTTCAGAATTAAGCGTTGTAGGTAAAGTTGTCATGTCTCTAGTGGAGTCCTTCACTCCAGGGCAGTTTCCCAGTCTGTCTTTCATGTTTATGACCTTGACTCTATTGAAGACTGCAGATCAGTTATTTTCCAGAATGCCTTTTAGTTAATGTTTGTTTTCTGTTACATTAGGACTAGATTCAGGCTGTGCATCTCGGATAGGAATATCACAGAAGTGATGCTGTGTTCTCACTGCATCTGCATCTGTATTAGTGTCCATTCTTGCATATTAAATTACCCTTAAAAACTTACTAGTTGAAAATAATAAACATTATTTTGCATAGTTTATGTGCATTAAAAAAGAAGCTGCATAGCTGGGAGGTCTAATGAGGGTGCGATCAAGATGTTGGCGAGGGCTACAATCATCTGAAGGCTTGACTGGGGCTGGGGCAATTGCTTGCAAGGTGATTCACTCACATGGCTGGCAAGTTAGTGGGGGCGATGGGCAGAAACAACATCTCCTCACTATGTGGCATGCTCCCCAGGACTGATTGAGCATCCTTACAATATGGCAGCTGGCTTCCTCAAGAGTGAGCAAAGTTTTTTTAGGACTAATATCAGAACTCACATACCATAATTTCTGTAATATCATATTGGTTACCCAGGTCAACCCCTCTCACTGTGGAAAATATCACCAAGGGCATGAATACTAGGACATGAAGATTGTCTCCTTGGAATCTGACTACCACAGCAACTTAGTAGGTGGCACCCAATGTGATTTGTCTCATTACTGATGATGTTACTTTGGTCATTTGATTAAAAGGTAGTGTAAGTCAGGCATCTCCACTGTAAAGTTACCATTTTTCCCTTTCTAATTAATATATTTTGGTGGAGAGGTTTTTTTGACATTATAAATACTCCTCATCAAACTTTCATTTTATTCATTTACTTATTCCTTCCTAATGGACTAATAGTTTCTTATTTTATTCAAAGTGTTTTAAGCTGT